ATTTCCTCCTTTCTCGGAGATCCTGGATGGGATTCTCCTTGCCTGATGCCCCATTTCCGCCCACCTCTGGCTCCGAGTTAGGGGATGTGGAGTATGGTCTCCTTTCCATCCCACCATCCAGACAGGGTCTGGCCTGACCACAGCGTCACCTGCCTCAGGTGAAGTTCAGCCACCCACACGTGAGATTTTACTAAGGGGGACCCGCTTCTGCTCTGTTCACCTGTTCCCTAGCAGCCCCTGTCATTTTCAGGTTCCTGAGACCATTCACACATCCTGTTTGTGCGGGTCTCTAGGAGATGCCTCAGCTTCCCCTCCCCGTGCTGGCTCTCTCTATTTGGGAAAGACCAGGATGGTGGGAAGCCGGGGGACGGAGGGGCGGCAGGGAGGTCCTGCAGGGGCTGGGCCGGTCCTCTACCCCCATCCCAGCCTCACGCTTCAGCCCTGACATAAAGCTGCCAGCCCCATGGCCCCCAAGTCCCCCAATTCTTATCGCTGGTTCCCACCTGTCAGCCCCGGCAGATCGCAGAGGGAAGGGAGGCTGGGCCCGGGCCAGGGCGGCCGCTTAATGACCCTCCCGGGGCCTAATCTCAGACTGGCAGCCGCTGAGTGGGGCAGGCTCGCTCCTGGAGGAGGCTGATAACACACCAGCTGGGCCCCCTACCATCTATCGGGGCTGTGCAGCCAATCCCGAGGGGGTAGTGCTCCAGGGACCTAGCGAGCGGGAGCCTCCGGGTACAGGGAGGCGGGGCGGGGCCGAGGCGAAGGCGAGCACTCCTCGTAGGCTCTGGGAGGGGATTCTCCGCTCCTTGAGTGACAGACGCGGGGGAGGGGCCAAGTCAGAGCGGCGGGCTGGGCTGAGCAGGTTCTCCTTTACACCTTTCCGTTCCTTTTCAGCCTTTCCTGTCCTCATTTAGACCTTCTCCCTCCCGGTCCTGGTATTTCTCAGCCTCTCTCAACCTCTCTCTCTCTGTTTCCTGTATGTCTCTTGGACTTTTTATTCATCTCTGTCTTCTTGTCTCTCTTGGTCGGCCCTTTCCTCTTTTCACACAAGTTTGGTACCCACAGTACCCTCTTTCTCCTTGCATCCCTTCTCTATTTCCAGGTCATTTTCACTGTTGCCCCCTCCCTAGCTCTCCTCACCCTTCAAAGCTACCCTGATGCCACCACTTGGTCCGGAAAGCGCCTTAACGTAATCATTGGTGTCTCAATTCTCCGTCTTGTACAGTAACTGTGTCCGCTGTTCCTTCCCACCACAGTCTGGGAATTGCTGCTCAGGTGTCCTAAGGACCTGGCTCTAGGGCTAGAAGGTTGCCTTACTGTTAAAAGTCATTCTTGCTCTTCCTGCTTCCTGATCTGGGACCTGCACCTTTCTTTGTTCTCCCCTAAGTGTGTGAATTTCACAGGGTTATGTTATAGGTCACACCCAAGCTAATTGGTGGAAAGCTTCCACCCAGGGATGCACAGTTGAAGGTAGATTGCAGCAATGCTTACTTCAGTTAAACCAGCAGAGGAACTTCCAGCCAGGAACTGGTTTCCAAAAGTGTTGGACAGTTTTACTATTATAGCCTAGCTTGTTTTTAGGGCAGTGTATCAAGTGGGAGTCCTGGTGTGGGGCTGTAGGATAAAGCACTGGACCACAAGGTCAGTTTGAACCACAAAGTGGCAGTCCACATCTACCAGCTGCTCCTTAGAAAGCCTATATAGGGTTACTATACAACAGGTCACTGTAAGTCAGAATCAACTTGAAGGCACTTAACAACAACAACAACACAAGTGGGCAAGATGATTTTTAAGATTACTTCCTTCATCCTGGGAGCAACATATGGCTTACTTGGAGAAGCCAACTGACCAGGATTCTCCTTCCCCAGCTTGGGGTGGCATGCGGTTGGTGATGGGGGACAAGAGCTGAGCTGAGTCACGTATGTACGTACATCCTGCTTTGTTCTCTGAGACCATCCACACAAGGAGTCAGATGGCGGGAGCAGTCAGAACTTGCTCTGGGACCAGGTTAGGAGACATGTGCCCTCCCTCTTTTCAGTTTTCCTCTTGGCAGTCGGGCACAGTGGCTAAGAGGTTGGGAATCATGCAAATTCTGGTGCAAAGTCCAGCTGTGCACCTCCTGTCTCTAGGACCATCTAGTCTTTCAGATCTTCCATTCCCTTGACAGTGAAACTGATTCTGTGTATTTTCCCTGCAGGGTTTTTGGGAAGAAATAGAGAATATATGTGTGATGATCATATCTGAGACTTGCCAGCAATTCCTCAATGGTTATCTTAGAAATCTCTTCTTCCAGAGAATTTCACCAGCCCTCCTCCCTACCCCATCCCTGGGTTAGGGACTTTCTCTGAGCAGTCACGAACCCCGAACTTCCCTAACTGTCTGTACTGT